TTGGTCTCAACACTTCGCAGGTATTATCTCAGTTCTCACAACTTCATGAAGCAGCCAGTATCTCTTCACAGGAGAAGAACATGTTTAGTCTGAAATCCCTGAGTTGGTGGGGTGGACAGTCCTGCCAGACGGGATGGTGAGTGGTATTTGCAGAGTTGGGAAAGTCCTTCATTTTCCTCTATTTTGAGCCACTGCAGACCGCTCTGGTTCTTGCCTGGCCCTTCTCAGGCCATAGGGGCTGGGTAGTGCTGTGGTCAGGGACGGGTAGGGAGCCCCATCCCACCACCTCGGACCCAGAGACAAGCTGGAATCCTTGGAGGGCTTTGTGCTTGCGGTGTCCTCCCACCCTCGGCCACCAGAGGGCAGTACTGGTTCACGCCTCAGACTGCCCGCAGTTGTGTCTGGGAAGGTCCGAGCGGTGGTTCGCAACCCACCAAACTTAACACCAAACACCTCCTTGTATTCTTTAAACAACTATTTTCTAATGCCTCCTCTGTCATCTCGAAATGAAATTAACTGCTGATGAAACCTACGTAAGCAAATAATAAATGTGATGCCTTTAATATAAAGGAAACATAACTTTTAACAAGCCTTGTGTTTCAGTAGTGCTGCTTGGGCATGACTGCACTAGACACACACAGTGTAGCAGTTAGATGCTTCTGCCTATTGGGGGATCACCGTGAGAGAAGAATGACAAATGCAGGATATAGATGTGTTGGTGACAAATACACCATGGTTTTATAAAACTGTAAACAACGCTTGGTAAAATTAAAAATAGAATGGAATACAGTTGTCTCTTTGTTTACAAGGTTATTCTTGAAAATTTCAATGGATATTAAAACTGAAAAGTTATTTTTATTTATGTGTAAAATAGATTCTGTACTCCTGTAGTTACAAACAGGCTTTTCATTTAGTACTGCATGAATTTCCAGCGGGATATTTGGATATTTTTGGGAAGAACTGCCCCTGTTCTGCATGAAACGTAGCATCCTCAGCCTGAGCCCACTAAATGCCAGTACCCCCACGCTCACCTCATTCGTTGCCATCATGACCACTAAAAACATCCCTGTCAATTTCTAAAATGGCCCCTGGGGGAGGTGTCTTCCTCATTGAGAACCACTGGCTTTGTTGAGCTGTACCATGGAGATGCTGTTTTCCAAATGTCCCCAGGCTGGAATAGGAGCCTGTTATCTGTGCCTCCTTGTGTCACACCGCTTTGGAGCCATCTCTTTGCTTGTCCACCCCTGCTCATTTCTCTTTCTCCTGCTTGCAACACAGCACCCAGTCCAAGGGTGGGGCTGCTGAGTGAGCCAGTGAGTGAGATTTATTTTCCACCAGCCACAGCATTGGGTTCTGTCTCCAGCTCACCTTTACAGCCTCCAGCAGGCTAACCTGCATCTTCACTGTCTTCTGAGGCAGCTCGTAAAGCAAAGATCACTTGGTCAAAAGTGTCCTCAAATCCAGAAGGCCACAGAACACACGCCACCCCTCAGTTAAGTCCCACACAGCCATATGCCCTCCAGCACTGGAACAGATCAGTGCTGTGTTGGTTGAATGAAAATGAAGAAGCTGGCTTGCACTTGGGGATTATGTTGTTAGAGAACTACCTTTACACACAGGAGTCACTCCTAGGTGGAAGCGCTATGCGGGAGCTGGGTTCAGGCGCAGAGTGAGACCTCCTCGAGGTGGGGATGGGGGAGGCGCCTCCTCACACACCTCGGTGCATTCGCTGGGGCCATTCTTTTTTTAATGAGATAACTTACATACCACACAATTCACCGTTTTACAGTACACTTCCGTGGTTTTTAGTATATTTCACTGCTAATTCCAGAACATTCCATCACCCCAAAAAGGAATGCTGTAACTATTAGCAGTCAGTCCCAATTCCCACCTTTCCCCATCCCCTGCCATGCACCAACCTCCTTCCTGTCTGTGGAATTGCCTAATCTAAGTCTTTCGGATAAATGGGACCATGCAATGTGTGGCCTTTTCTTCCTGGCTTTTTGCTTAGGATAAAGTTTTCGGGGTTCATCCTTGTTGTGGCATGTTAGCACGTGATTCCTTTCAGACTGAGTGACCTTCCATAGTGAGGATATACCACATTTTGTTTCTCCATCCAGCAGCAGATAGACTGAGGATTGTTAAGAGAAAGGGCTCCCACCAGTTCCCCTCGTCTCAGTGTATTCACTTCACCTGAAGGCCTCATCGAACTCTCTCTTCTCTCTGCTAAACCAAGAGAGACACTCGAGAGGGGAGGGCCCAGGCTTTATTAAAATGGTATTAAAGACTATTCTTTTCCTCTGGGCAGACCACGTTCGCAAATCCAGCTAGCCCTGTGGTCTGCTGTGCCCAGGGCCGTGTAACTCAGTGTCCTTGATGAGAAAGGGAATTCACCCCACTCTCTTCGGTTCCTTCTTCCTGTGACCCCAGCAGAGTAAATCAGCCACTGTCCCTAGTGTGGTTAGGTGCCCCACCCTCTCACCAGCCCAAAGCACCACTCACTCATCTGTGGCCCTTTGTGAGCTGTCCAGTGGGTCTTTGTTTGGTCAGAACCAATCCAGCTCTGAAGTTCACCATCGCCATCTCCCTGCTCCTGCCCGCTGGGTGAAGCTAAAACTGGGTATCTAAACGGTCCTGCTCACTGACCTTACTCTGGGCTTCCCAGCCCTGCTCACCAGAGTCAGCTGTGGAGCTCCCAGATGAGAGACCTGGGCCCTCCCTCATAACAAACGCTGGTCCAGTAGGCTTGGAGGAGGCAGGAAGCCATCAGTGTTCCTCAGGTGATTCACACTTGACAGCTACTGCCTTCCTTTGTTTCTCCTTTGCCTGTCACCCTGACGGAGGGGAGGCTAAGGCCCAGCGTGGTAGTCCAGCTGTGGAGCCGCTGGGGTGGTCTGGTTCAAGTCTTTTGTCCAAGATGGTGTGTTGGCATTCATTATAGGAAGGGAACTGGGGGCAGGGGCACTCAGAATCCACCTGGAATGTACGTCTTTCAGCAGATCTAAATTCCTGTTTTCAAAGCCCCTGTCATATCTTTCTTTTCTTTTCTTTTTTTTTTTAAAGATGACCGGTAAGGGGATCTCAACCCTTGGCTTGTTGTCAGCACCACGCTCAGCCAGTGAACAAACCGGCCATCCCTATATAAGATCCGAACCCGTGGCCTTGGTGTTATCAGCACTGCACTCTACAGAGCGAGCCACGGGCTGGCCTATGTCTTTCTTTTCTCATGGGGGATCTAGCCTGAGCCAGAGAACACCTGATGCCTTAGGCTTTCCACCCCGACTCGGGCCACCTGAGAGCCAGGGCTTTGTGTTACGTGCCCTCAGCCTTCCAGAATGCCCGTCACGTACTCAGTCCAGACTCACCAAGTGCAGTGGGTTGACGGATCCCCTCCTCTACATCTGAGGGGAAAGGGAACTCATGCAGCTAGAGTGGAAGGGCCTGGACCCTGAACATGAGGGTTGATGGAAACTGAAGCCAGGCAGGAGGTCCCCCAGTAGCTTGGCAGAGAGGAAGCAACAGGGCTCCACATTTTCTTAGGCAAGCGCCATCCACCCAGAAGGGCCCTTTAATTCCACGAGCACTTACTCTATTCGTGGTTCCCAAGTCAAAGACAGCATGCTCTTGTGAAAGAAAACGTAACTGGTTCTAAAACTCACTCTCTGGCCAGAGCTAACCAGTGGGCCCTGCAGGGTGGCTGGGGCCTGGTTGGGATAGAGGATAGAGCATCTTCCTAGAGCCCAGTGGGGGACTCCACAGCTGGTGCCTTGGTAAGCACCTCTGACCCCCCATGCTGCCTGCTGGATCAGCTGCTGCCGCACCAGTGGTGCCTCCCTGCCTCCTGGAAGGTTTCCTTGCATGTCTTGGCCATAGAGGCTCTCGTGCTCTTTCGCCTGCCTCGTGTCCATCGCCGACGCTCTTCCAGCAGGAGGGTGGGTGGGTCGACACAGCCCTGGTCTCAGGAGGCCTGTCTGTAAAATGACGGGTAGACTGGATCAGGGAACCCCACACTTTAGTCCCTGAAGTTCTCCCTTTGCGGTTTTTGTATATCCATGAACCATGTGTACTTTTTATCTTGAAGCAACCCACTTTATTTAAATATGTATATTTTTAAAGAAACCGTAATGTCACTTGTCTCAACTAGAAGGAAAGTAAAAATAGAAACCACAAGAACAGCAAAGCGGTTGAATTGTGGGAGACTGTGTCTGTCAGGCGTCTGAGCCTGCGCCTGCTTTCTTCACTGAAAAGGGAAATCAGCCCGTGCTGGAGAGGGGTGAAGACACTCACACAGAACAGGTGTTCTCCGTGCCACAGATGGCAGAGTGACAAAGAAATGTAAGGGGCTCCTCTATGATCACATGCATCAACTGTCTAATGCTGTGCCAGAAATCCCACGCCTCGGGTAGTCCCAGCGGCAGTGCCCACATACTTTGGGCTGATTGCTTCGATCTGTCCTCCAGCTTTGCCACTGCGCAAATTCAGACATTTTGGAGTAGGAATGTCTTAAGTGAACTATCTTCACAGCTCCCCAACTTGAAAAGCGTATTTTTTTTTCTCTAAAGTAGTAGTTCTCAGCCTTTTTTCTACCAAAGTGATTTTTTTTTACTATCATGAAAGATTTTGTTGGCCAAACTCTACCTTTTAAGTAGCAGTTATTTACCTTTCTGTGTTTAAATTGTACACATATACATAACACACAGTTGCTCAGCAGAGAGCTGTGATCAGCAAGAGACAGTGCTACCACTTTCAGTTGACAGGCTTTTTTAGGCAAAAGGCAAGAGACTTGTATTGCTGCTGGTAAATACGCCTGCATCGGGCTGTTTGAAGAACTGCACAAAGTTGCTTGTTTTGTTATTACTGTCTTTTGGGACCTCAGCTTAAGAGCCACTGAATTGAACCACAGGACAGAATTAGGAGGTGTGTGATGTGAAATGACTTTTTGGCAGGTGGCTGGTTTTACACACATTTCTGCTCCTGAGGCCAGTTAATTTCCAGGAATGTCAAGGATAGCCAAGTTTCATTTATTCGTACAAATAAAGGCATGAGCGAGAACGTTCTAAAAAAGGTAATCGTTTCCAACATGGATGACAGAATTTCCTCTGATCATTTGATTGGGTCACAGATGAATTTAAACTTCAGTTTAAGCTTGACCTTTAAAGTTCCCTCTCCTCTTCTCCCAACATAGCAGCACATGGTGCTAAGTATGTCACAAATTCCTAAAAATACATCCAAACAAGTATAGTATCTCAACACATTGTGGTTTGTTCACCTTAAGAAGAATTCAGAGTACAGTACAGGCAAGGAGACTGGAACAAGGTTTGGAATGGGCTAGAGATTTATTCCTAATTCTGCTGTGGACCACTGATAAGAAATGATTCTGATTTCATTTTTAAAGTTTCCATAACTGTAGCAATTACCTCTGAAAGACTGCTGTCCACACTGACTTGGATAAAGTTTTCTGGAGCTGCTGGGGGCTCCAGAGTCTCAAACTGGGACTGCAGTAACTCAGGGGGCATGAAATGTCCTTTTCTCTTGAGTAAGCGTCCAGAGATGACTTCAAACGACCCCCTCAGATGGACCACCAAGAGCTGCACTTCAGCCAGCCTTTCTTTCTCTCCTGACTCCTCATGCTTCAGAGCTGCACCATCTTTTCCTCGGATGAGGATGTCTCTGTACATTTTCTTCAGGGCTGAACAGGCTAGAACCACGTGCTGTCCTGAGGATACATCTCTGTTTAAAAAAAAAAAAAAAAGACAAGCTAAAGAATGACGATATTTAAAATAGTCGGTGTCAATTCTAGGTGGAGGACTCCAGTCCTACTTTACTGCCAGGGGAAGGCGACAGGAAGTGGTTAAGTGCAAGGCAGTCCTGGAAGCACTAGTGAACCGAACAGTCTTGGGCAAAGGCATTTACCTCCCTGAGCATCAGCTCATCTTCGGTAAATGGGGCTGCTCAGAGTACCTGCCCCCAGAGCTGCTGTAAGGAGAGAGTTGATCAAGGTACACAGAAGCGCTCGGCGAGTGTTGTTTCTGTTCCTATGGATGCAGGCTGTGGCTCAGCCTCAGCGTGTGGGCACAGGGGGCTGCCAGCAGGTGTGTGCCACGCAGACAGCTTGGCTCAGGTCCTCCCCAGGATGTCAGTGGTTTGCATTCTACAACTGACTTCTCCCCATTCCTGTCCTGCAGTGTGTTGGCAGAGCCTGGGGGAGTTGCCAGTGTGGAGCTGGAGAAGGTGGGAGCGAGGGAACCTCAGCCCCTGCGTGGGCAAGTTGAGCAGGACGTGAGGGGTTTCCAGGGATGTGCTGAGGGAGAATCCCGAGCCAGAAATAGGGGCAGCGCAACACGGCACCAGTAAGGGGAAACCAGCCAGCCCCAGCGACCAGCCAGCGCGGTGTGTGGGACTTGGTCCTCTTGGGGCCTGGAAGGGACCCCCGAGTTAGGAGGTGGAGTGTTAACTTGGCTTGGTATCTAGTAGAAAGTTCTCTTCAGAACTGAGAGTCTGAAACGTCCTCCCCTCAATCTTACGGCCAGCTTAGACTGGAGTCCCAGCAGGTGGAGCATGTCATCAGAAGCAAACGTGTGTACTGAGCCTCGGAGGCTCTTCCCAGGGCCACAGTGAGAGTCTGCTCCTTCTGGGTCTGCAGTTCTGATCTGTGCCCTGCTGAGGATCCTCGCTTCTGCTTCCGTTCTGGTCAGGAGTACAGCACAGTAAGTAGACTGTCACGAGTCTGTCCATGTTAGAGACCCCGGTGGGCAGGAGTTCTCAAACCCGGAAATCCTGAACCTGAACCTCTAAATCAAAACTCCATGCAAACCGTAAGCTGCCAGTCATGTCAATGGGGTGTGAAAAAGGCAAGCTGAATTTTTAGCGATAAGTGTATTCCATCTTCATATGGCCTAGATGGTTTTAGGTGGATGAAATATAATTTATCTTAGAACGCAAGATTTGTAACTCATTCCCTGCCTTTTCTTTATCCTTCTCCATGTGCCAACCAGGATTTTCAGTGGAGTCAGGCCCTCAGATGGGTAGGGGGGTCCCATTTGCTCACAGGCATGGTACAGAGCTGGACGATGCCGGACTCCAGTCCTGGTGGCCAATTATCTGTTGACTTACAAATGACCTCTCAGGTCTTCTTGGTTGTCACAGCTTGAAGTAGGGGGAAGAAAAAGTGATAGGCTATTACAGGGTGCCTTCAGTTAACATTTTTTGAGCACTTACTGTGTATCAGACACTGTTCTAAGTGTTACCCATGCACCATCTCACTTATTCTTCACAGTAATCTGTGAGGAGGGCCTCTGTGTACCCCATTTTACAAGCAAAGCAACAGGCTTATGAAACCAAGTGGCTGATCAAGATCCCCAGCTAGTAATTGTGGAGCTGTCTTAGGAGGTTTGTCTCCAGAGCCTGACTAACCTACACGCTGTCTGTGCTGGCTGCAATCTTGTTGGTTATTTGATAGAAGTACATTTTATTTCTGGGATCCTTTATCATCAGTCAGCTGTGATTTCAAGAGTGTATTTTTTTCCTCCTGTACATTCTGATGGGTTTTCTTTACTCACTGGCCTATGCCAAGACCCAGTGGTCTCTTACCTTAATAAAATGTCATGCAAGTTGCAGAGCCATGGAATCCTGTCCTGAAAGTAAAGCAGACACAAAGTGACTTTTCCTGGCACTGTCTATATAGAAACATTGTTATGTTCACAAATGTTAAAATCCAGAGAGATCTTAATAGTTTGAGAAGTAGGCCATGCACAAGGCTCGGGGGCCACGTCACTGGGGAGTCAACCTCAGAAAGATTTTCTTGGCTGGGGTGTCAGTAGCACTTTTCATTATTATAAAAATTGCTCTAAAATACCAACATATATCTCCCTTCATCTTAATCTCTACATTCAATGTATGTTTTCTGTGGTTCTGATGTTTTACAAATCGTTTATTGTATTGCCTGTATTCTCTAGGTGCCTCTGATCTCAAAATGCAGGGGGGTCCTACATAAACCCTATGTCAGCTGTCCCCTGGCCTTATTCTTCAGACCCTCCAAAAACAAAACTCCCCTCTGATAAAAGCATTGTAAGCAAAGTTATATTTTACTACAGAAAAGACAGAGGAAGTTTACGTAGGATACCCTATCGTGTTTCACAAAGAAATGCTCCTTAGAACTGTTTCTGGGGTAAATCCTGATTATTGGCTATTGAAAACATTGGCATTGAAAAAATGAAAACAAAAACTTTTTATGACGGAAAAACACACACACATACAAAAGTAAACTAAATAATACAAAACAAAGTTCTGGGCACTAATAACCCAGTGCCCATCCCCTATTATTTTGATTCTTATTCCTCAAACATGATATATTTTAAAAAGTCCTTGCTTTTAGGCTTTTGACTACTATCATTCTATCATCTTAGGATTTTTGAATTTATATACTTCAGTAAGACTGGCCTACAGTTTTTTTCTTACATATTCCATATTAAATTTTGGTATCAAGGTTATATACTAGCTTCATAGAATGAGGATAGCTTTCCCTCTTTTTCTGTTCTTTGAAACAGTTTGCATACAATATATTATTTGATAAAAGTCATCTGAAAAACTTCTGGGCCTGGGGCCTTTTGAAAAGAGGGGAGAACTCTGATTACAGATTCAACTTCTTTAATGAGCATTGTGTTGTTTTCAGGCTTCATACTTGATTCAGTTTTGGTAACCATAACATATAAGGCAGCAGAAGAGACTAGACCTGTACACTCCTTATTTGGTAAGGAGTCAGGTCGCTGGTGGAAGCAGCTCAGTAGGAGCAGTCGGCCCTTCTCAGCTGGGCGTCCAGGCCGCCAGAGCCCGTAACGTCGCTCATCGCTGCAGGTTACACTCCGTGCAAGGCAGTACTTTTTATTACTTTTACCATTACGTCAAAGGAAGTAACTTGAGCAATCCATGCCCTAACTATAAATCACACAGATCTCTGGGCCCTTCTGATTCTCAGGCCAAGGGCAGCACCAGCGAGGTCATGTTTTCATTTGGGGGGAAAAGCACGTCCCTGAGCAGCATCTCTGCCACCCGATCACTGCCACCCAAGCCCATCCCCCACAGTTCCGATTTGGAGTTCCAATTTGTCTGTCTTCGGACGTGCTGGCATCACGTGTTCAGAGCCCTCTTTTCATTCTTCATCTTAATTGTGCTTTTTTCTTTCCTGTGGATCAGTCTTGGTAGAGATTTGTCTATTTTTATTTTTTCAAATAATTAGCTTTGTTTTTCATCTACATAGTTTCTTTTCACTAGCATTCTGTTACTTCCTACACTTTTTTTAATACTTCTGTTGAACACTTAGCTCATTACTTTTCACTCTTGGTATTTTCTAAAAATATATTCAGAGGCTCTATGTTTCCTTCTAAGTAACATTTTAACTGCATCCCATAAGTTTTAATTGATAGCACAGTCAGCCCTCCATATCTTTGGGTTCTGCATCTATGGATTCAACCAACCAAAATATCCAAAGAAAATAAACAACAATGCAACAATAAAAAATAATACAAATAAACAACACAGTATAACAACTATTTGAATAGTATTTACATTGTATTAGGCACTATAACTAATCTAGAGATGATTTAAAGTATATGGGAGAGTATGTGCATAAGTTATATGCAAATACTGCATCATTTTATAGAAGAGACTTTAGCACCAATAGATTTTAGTATCCATAGGGGGTCCTGGAACCAGTCCCCTGTGGATCACAACAAGGGATGACTATACTTTTGTCATACATTTCCTAATATTTTATAATTTCCATCATGACTTTAACTTGCAAATTATTTATATGAATGTTAATTTTTGTTTTTAAATTTCTCTGATTTGTAGAGTTCCCAACCATTTTGGTGATGTGTGAGAATTTTAATTATTGATTTATAATTCAACTGCATTATGGTAAGAAATATGATTGGTATGATATTGATTCTTTGGAATTTGTGGCAACATCTTTTGTGGTCTAGTACATGGTCAACTTTTATAAATGTTCCGTGTGTACTTGAAAAGAATATCCATTAATCCTTATGTCAGGTTTGATACATTTGTTCGAATCTTCTGTATCCTTACTAATTTCTTTTATCTGCTTGATGTGTCAATTTTAAAGTTATTTTAAATTCCTTCATTAGACTGAGAAGTTGACAGTTCCCCCTCCTGTCTTTGTGTATGTCAGAAAATGTCTTTATTTCACTCTTACTCTCAAATAGGATTTTAGTTGGTGAAGAATTCTTGGTTGACAATTATTTTCCTTCAACAGTTTGAATAATTATTTCTCTGTATTTTAGGCCTCTATTGTTGAGACTCTCTCTTGGTATATTGGTCAATCCTTTAGAAAAAATACTTTCTCTTTGGTAGCTCTAGTTAGGAAAAAAACCTCTTTGTCCTTGATGCTTTGCAGCTTTACTGTTTATCCTGCTCAAGACTCATTTTGTGTGTTCAGTCTGAACACTCATGCTCTGGAAAACTGTTATTATATCTTGGAATATTGCCTTTCCTCCACATATTCTGTTCTCCTTGGACTCCTTTTAACTGTGGGAAGCTTGTCATTTTATCACATGTCTCTTCATTTTTCTTGGCTATTTTCTAACTATTTAGCTCTTGCCTTCACTCTGGGTAATATCCTCCAATCTGCCTTCTAATTCACTAGTTCTCTCTTCAGCCGTGTCTAGTGTGTTGTTTAATCCATCCATTGTTTATGCTTCATTCTAATATTATTTCATTCTTTTTCAAATTTTCTGTTCTTGTCTTCCGTTTGATTTTTATTATGTCTGTTTCTTGGAAGGCAACTTCCTGAATTCATGTTTTTGCAGATTGTCCCCCATAGTGGTTCATTTTCCTTGTATGGTTTGTAATTTCTGATTGTAGTTTTTATCTTTAGCGGAAGAGTTTTTCTCTTGTGGGAGTCCTGCATTTTGTAAATATTTCCATATTTCACCAATTCTAGTCCAATCATATATATCAAGTTTTCAGCTTGGTGCCTCTCTGCTATATAATGTAAATCTGAGTGTAGTAGGGGTTCCAGTTTCTCAAGGATGACTTTTTCCACCTGTGGCCCAGGGGAGACAGCCAGACACTTTGCTGCTTTTGAGTCCAGTGGGTGGAAATATGTTTAATCCTCATTCTAAGAGAGCCCTTATATGAAGACTTTGTGCAAGATACTCAGGTCCAGCTCCATGCTTCATAGCGGCTTTACAGCCTCATCTCCCATCTCTACAGGGGCATCAAAACCTCAGCCCCCTGCCCTTCTGTCCTTTATGCAGTTCAAAAACCTGGGGGAGAGGGGGTATTCAGGTTTAGTTCAGTCTTACCACTTTGATTCTGCGCCTTAGATTTTCTCATTTTGCCTTTGACCTTGGTTAGGCCCTTGGCCATCTTTGTTTTTCTGGTGGTCTTTTTCATGAGGGGCCTTTTAAGCTTTCCAGCTCCACTGACCACCTTTAGCTCCTGCATGTCTCCCCTGGGCACAGGCTTTCTCCATTTCTAATTCAGAGTAATTCAACCTTCAGTAAGTGAAAGGTCATTCTACCAAGGTTGTCACTTGGTGCTCAGCAAACCAAAGACCTCCAGTTCCTAGGACTCACCCTCCTTAGAAGGGACAGAGGATTATAAATGGTATTTTTTTCTTCATATCAAACAAAATTTTTTTAAAGCATTGTGTGCTAATGTTGGTTTGAGGCTCCTGGAACTTTTACTAATCACAGAACTCTAAGACTTTACCACCATGCACACCTGTTCACCCAGAGATCACTTGGGAGTTCAAATGCGATAGCTATAAAATTCAAGCAAAGTAGAGATCAAAGGACAACAGCTACACAATGTATACAATTTATATCCTAAATGACAATAGCTATTTAATTCACACAAATCATTACTCATACTATAACAGCTACTGTCACGTATAAACATTGTAGCTTAAATGTATTTAACAAATGAAACATCTGTTTATGTTAGCACTTGTCTCCATGTGTTTAGTGGAACAAGTGTGTAAATGTAGCCATGAGATGATCAGGCTTACCAGCTACATATCTGCAGACCACAGACAACTCTATTAATGAAGTTAGAATATATGGGGAGACTTAATGCTTTTGGAAAAGAGTGTATATGTTTAATGTTTGTTATTGGCAAAGTTTTCCAGGACGTCATACTCAAAAATTATATGTTCTATAGAATCTTTGTGGAGATAAAAATTGGAGAGGATATATGTATGCAACTTGAAATTACCACTGCAATATAGTATTTTCTGGGCTTATGGTGGTGAACAGGGAAGGGTGTCAAGGATTCTAGGTAAGCAGGAATAATTAGCTGGACTGACTGAGCTCTGCAGTATTTTTTGTTGAAAAATTGCTCCTGCTGCAGTATTTTTTGTTGAAAAATTGTTCTTGGGAGAAGCTGCCAATTCAAGCACAACTTTGAATTTCCACCTTCCTTCACCCCTTTACAAATGCTTATTGCATGCTTAGGGAGACTGGACACCGTTCTGGGTGCGTTTGGTCCTGTACTCCAGACATGATTACTTTGGGTTTGAGTTAATCTCTAAAGTACCATTTGAACACATCTTTCTAAATTCCTTTCTTTCTTGTATTCCCCCTGTGATTAGCCAAGCTTTTCTACTGCATTTGTG